GGGGGGTGGGGTTTTTTTTTTTTTGGTTTGGTTTTTTTTTTTGTTGTTTTTGGGGGGGGGGTTTGTGGGGGGTTTTTTTTTGGGTGTTGGGTGGTGGTTGTGTTTTTTTTTTGTTTTTTTTTTGGGGAGTTTTTTGGGGGGGGGGTTGGGGGGGGGGGGGGGGAAGGGGAGGCATGGGAATGCTATGAGTTGGGTTTGGGTTTGGTAAGAAACACGGCAATGAAACACAAACACGAACAGGGTGTTTTCTAGGTCGGCCACCTCGCATGTTGTCATCCGAGCGCGCCTCCAACACCGAGATCGGAGTGAAAAGAAAAGCGGTCCAAAAGAGGCACGTAGAAGGGTATATCCAGCAGGGTGCCATGGGACGCCTTTCATGCATGACCACCACCACCGTTCGCGAGAGCACATGTCCACGCCGACATTCAAGTACAACACGGCTGTCGTACACTTCTTTTTTTCTCGCCACGACCGAGGCAAGAGAGACAAGAGCATAGAATAGCTCTTCGGCGAGCGTCTCTAGAGCTCTGTCTGTTTTCTGCGAGCTCGTCTCCCCGGCCCCTTAGCTGTTCCTGGTGACGCCGTCATTGCTTGTTGTTGCTGTTGTTGTCGTTGAAATCGCTTTAAAAACTGTTCCGACTTCCGCTCAAATCCTGTAAACATCCGTAGGCAGCACTGGCGCAGGCACCTTCAATGGCCACAGGGTACTCCCCAAAACGTCACGAACTTAAAAAACCACACACAAAGGAAACGCCCAGAATTGGTGCTTCTCACGAGACAACTCGTTGCGTTTGTTGGTGCAATCATTTGTCTAGCCGGCGCGGACCTAACTTCGACCGTCCGGAATGCGTGAAACCCTTTAGGAATATGGCCTGAAAGCTACGATCACGCACGGACCCCCCCTCGCAGCTCACGATTTCTAGAAGTTCTCCGTAGATGTCTCCAAGCGCTTCGCCGAGCATGTGCTGCTGCTTGATGCCGCGACCTGGGGAACAACAACAGGACGCGGTTGAGCACCATCAGCTCAAGATTAATCCACAACACGAAAGTAGTGCAGACTTCTCTTGGGCTTGTAAGTCAGACTTTGGCACTCAAGCCCCGGAGCTCGCATCAGCCTCACTCCCCTCCCCAACAACACTACGACATGCTTTTACACGAGTACCCCCCTCCTACATCTCTCCACTCACACGGAGCCCCCCCCGCCCTGATATTAACGAACCTGTGGAGTCACAGCGCCAGCAATTCCCGTCCCAGATATTTGTTCTGAGCGACTGCGGCTCGTCCCGAATCCGCACAATCTATTCCGAACAGGGAGGGGTGGGGGGGGGGTGGGGGGGGGG